TGCAAGGATCAAGATTCTTTTCGGGATCGGGTAGAATCTCCGGTTCTCCCTTCTCAGTCTTCTTGAGCTTCAAGGCGGCCTCCAGGATCTCTCCAAGATCCTTCTCAACCGCTCGCTCCTCCAGCGTATTCTCGTTGTTATCGGCCAGGTCTCGTTTCTTAAGGCGAAAGTATACGCTACCTTTGCTCCACGCCATCTTTCCGAACCTGGCGTATAATAAGTCTTCGGCCGGCTTGTTTATTTGGAAGATGTAGGTTTGGCTACCATCCTCCTTACCGGAGTTGGTGACCTTTAACACCTTCAAATCTTCCGTCGGCACATCTGGATTCTGTCTCTGCAGAAGCCGCAGCGCATTCTCCGGTTTTACCGTGCGGGGTATGAGCATCTTCGCTTTCGGTATGGACGGTATGCAGCTGCGGTCCACAATCTCCAAGACGGCGCCCTCCCACAGGCCTTGAAGCGTCGCAACAGCTTCCTTTACCCATATGATTTTCACCCCATTCAGCCACCCCGCACCATCGAAAGTGTTGTGCTCTCCATCCATTTTCGAGACGAGCGCATCCAGCAACTTAAGTTCTACTGCTCCCCAGCGCTCCTGAGACATTTAGCCCAGCGGATTACTACGGTCAATGAGTGGCACGATTAGATGTCTCCTGGCTATCTCACTGCGAGTTGCCGCCGCTTTTGATGTTGTCGCTTTCTCTTGATCGTCTCTGCGCTTCGATATTTTGGCCGGCCTTGCTATCTCGCTTTCAGCAGACACCTGCGTTTTAGCCGCGATTCCTTCCTCGATCCGGTTTGCGAATCCTGGATCCGTGGCAGTGAATCGTGGCCTTGCCGCGTAGTACGCCCGGTCTTCCTCCATTTTCCCCTTAGCCCAAGCAAACCTTTCCTTCTCTTCCTTCGTCCGGTTTGACATGCAGCTAAGTAATCTCGTGGACTTTGATCGCCGCCTTGTATATAGCTTTAGCCTTCAACCCCTCCTTACTGGGTTTTGCCCAAGGCCTTTTCTTTGATGCCGAACAAGCACATTTGGCATCCCCCGGAGAGTGTAGCAAGGCTTCTTTCCTGAGTGTTTACGCTTTCACCGCTTTCGAGTCCGAGTCTTCGTGGACTGCGGCACCCCTGCGCTGTAGCGTCAGTTTGGCAGTAGCACTACAACCGCTGAGAACCGCTCCCTTCACAGCAGAGGTGTGGCCGTTAGCGACACAGCGAGTAGACTTGCTGTGCCCGCCGGTGGTAGTAGCCACTTCTCCCACCGACGTTTGGGCTGATATCCCAGCCTGATTTTCTTCTTTTCTGGCCTCCGTGGTGAGTTTTTATGTCAGGGAACCTCTACCCCTAGAGTTTTGTACCTACCGCCAGGTACCTCGTTAGCAATGGCAGAAGTAGGCATACACCCCATTCCCCTAGGTACATATGCAGAGCAAAGCACTAGGTAGACAAGGATGGATACGTATTCCTGCCTTCGCAGACGCCGCCTGCTCGCACCGCAAGACCCGCTCTAGGTACTAGCCTAGATGCTAAGCCATCGCGATGGCAGCAGCGATGCCCAGTGCTCAGTCGGCACCCGCGGGGAGGATACAGCTAAGAGGATTTATGTTAACTGTACGGTGAAATAACTGAATAAAAAAATAAGTGGAAATGTGGTTAATTAGAGATAACTGCCGCAAGAAGTACTACCTTTACTTGCGCAGCTTCCACAGAAGACAACGTCGAACTTTATTATAACGTTTAATCCTTCTACCTAGTCTTCATTACTGATGCAATTTCTTACCAATTCGACTATTCATGTTTTGTTTCAGGGTTTTTAGCATGTGAAAGATTATCAAAACAAAATTTGATTTGCAATAAAATGCTTTCTACTTTAACTATACAAAACGAATTACCTGACATTCCATCTCCAAACTCATTTTCTTTTAAAAGAATGTCTAAATCAATTGCCATTTCAAAATTCGAAACTTAGATTCGAGACTCGAAATCAGCGATCTCAAAAACTCTAAAAATGGCCTGTTTTAATAAAGTTTATGGATTTCTTCATTTTTCTTTTCGCCATATTTGATAAGGGCTTTGAATGGCATGTTTTATTAAAACGCCTTAATTTCTAAATTTTTGTGTTTGTCGTATTAGCAAAATCTGACCTCAAATTCATAATCAGCGACCTCAAAAACATAAACAAACAAAGTGGTGTCAAATTGTGTCAAAGCGTCTTTGAGCAAATAATTTTGTCCACCTAGATTTGGATTTCGAACCACTGTGCGCCGTCTCTGAATGGCTGATAGTTTTTTTGAGAAGCTTTCTTATGTCAGAGATTTGCCATTGCCTGCAGACTGGCGTCTGCTAACAGAAAAAACTTTTTCAAGTTGTTGTTTGGACCGTGCGCATCATTAACTAATCGGCTAGGTCAGCTGCCATATGTACATAAAGTACAATTTATAACTACAGCGCAAAACAAAAGCTATTCTTGAATCGATATAAAAAACGCATTAAGCACCTTATAATATTATGTATGTATGTATGTATATTATGTAGATCCAAGCTTTGCACGCGGGCAAGCCGCACAGTGTAAGATTTGACCCATCTAACTGCTTTTAATTCTGTAATTGGAAACTATTGAAGATAGATTAATGAAATTTTGTACAAGGTATGTTATAAGATAGGCGAAGCTTTTTACAAAAAAAACTGGCCATTTAGAGGTACTGTCATGCCACCCTATTATATAATAGTAATTTTTAAAAAGGCAAAGCTGAAATATTCGACTAACTACAAAAGCTAAAAGGCCCAAAATTTACATTTGGGATTTCCTTATAACAAGGAATTATTAGCTGACAGAAATGGACTTAAGAATTAATTTTTTTTTAAACTATGGGCGTGGCAAATATCGATAAAAAAGTCTAGTTGGGTCAACAAAATTCCGTTATAAGTTCACTATTTCTTGCTCTATTTAGAAAAATTGAATACCATTGAAAGTTAATGGAATCAAACTTTCTTTATTCAAAAGCGAAAATACAAAACTTTCTCTCGGTCGAGATCAAATGCAAATGAATTACTCGAAGAAAATAAAATTCCTAGCAGGCCTGAAAAAAGAAAATTTCATCAAAACCAACACTTTCCAGCAGCTAAGGTTGTTTTGTTTATAGTCTAAGAGGAGTGGCAAATAAACTGAGTTGCAAACTTTATCGAATAATCGCGGATAACGAGCTGGCGGATCTAATGAAATAAATAAGTTGCTAAAATTAAATTTAAGTTAACATGGTTTTACTTTAACATGAAATCCTCAGTCCTAGTTTACTAAAGTCCCAAAAATGTGTATTCGTTTAAAAGAACATATCTAAAAAATAAGACGAAAATGGTATTTTAGCAATTGTTGCATAAATCACTTAACACCAGCAACTTAAACATTGAGATTCAGTTTCAAATACACAAGTTTAAATATTATTGCGCTTGGTAATCTTCCAATTAAATCGCGTCCCGCCCTACACTTTGATCTGCATAAATCCCTTAACACTAGCAACTTAAACATTGAGATTCAGTTCCAAATATACAAGTTTAAATATTATTGCTCTTGGTAACCTTCCAAATCAAATCGTAATAATACACTGTGAGGCGGTTCCCACCACCAATTCACTTCTACTGGTACTGTTTCGTTCGATACCAAGTAATTTTGGTATCGATACTTTTCAACCAAGTACTGAGTAGGTATCGAAAATCAAATACTTGTATCCAAACCCGATACTAAGGCAAATTTGGATTCGGCAATTTTTCCTCCGCTGTTATTCCTTGTTCTTAACGGCTGCATAGGCGACAAAGTCGATATAATGCGACGTACACAAGGCCCAACTGTTCGAGTGGAAGAGTAACATGCGTTTTGATACTAACACCTACACGAATTTATTTGCGTTTAACTCGCGTTTGCATGTTGAGTAAACTCCAGAAAAATACGCGTGTGAACAGGGTCTTATTCTTCGCGCTGAAAATACCAGCTGAAAATATTAAACGCATGGAAGTCTAGCTCTGTTATTGAAGAAAAGAAACGAAGAAGAAAAAGAGCCCCACGAAGAGTTGTTTACAAAAAATATCTTAAGCAGAGAACACACGAGTGTTGTTATTCGTAAAATTTTAAGACAACACCACTCTATGGTTGGTCATACCAGATAATCCTTAACTTATGACCTAAGTAATTAAATTGAACTTATTTAGTTCATACGGAATACCTTCATAGAAAAAAGTATCGATATCCAAGTAAAAGTATCGATACCTGCATGATATCGTTTCATCCCCAAGAATAGAATATTAAGAGGATACGAAGAACCAAAACGGCGAATCTTTTGCAGTAAATGGCGAAAAAATAAAGATTCGGCCTTACTTTTCAATGAATTGACAGCTATGGTGAACATGAAGGTTTCTAAAATAACGGTTAGAGGACTCCAGAAACAAGACCCTAATCTTGAATTCCCGTTAAAAATATATATAATAAAGTCCTTAATTTCCAAAGCGTCACAATAAAGATAAGCCTTACTTTGCCAACAAAAGTCAGGGAAGAGCTTGGCTGCTTAAAACAATTTTTTAATCTTTTCACATTTATTTTGCTAGATGATGTTAAGTATTTGGATGCAAAATATGAAATTCAGATTCCTCAGAAACATCTGAAACATTCCCTAAAATTTAACCCTACTAGAGGTCTATTCCATGGTATGAAAACGTTAAGTTATGTTTAATAAACTAGGGATTTGTTTCTTATTTTACGAAGGAAATATATGTTCTTCTTTCGGGACCCCCAAAATCGATATTTTAGAGACTTTTTTGCTAACCAGAGCTGCCAATTCATTGAAACTTAGGCCTGAATTTTTAAACTTTCGCTTTTTTTTGTTTTAGTTCTTAGTATCATTGCGAGTTAATTGTTTTCATTTGATTTGATTTGAAATTTATCTGATTTAATTTTCTACATCACTTTTACACATATGTCTCAAAAACTGATCCTATCATTATTTCAAATATAGGGCTGCGAGCAATCACCACAACTCTGTGCTTCTTTTAATGTGGATACGATTAACTTAGGATGGCAAAAATTCGATATTACTTCAACTATTCGAAACTGGTATGCCAGAGTACCTATGGAAAAATTACGACTTCTGATAGACTGTACTGGTTGTGGCAAATATGTTTTGCATTTATTTGACCTGCCGACAGATATTTCAAAACAAAAACAACCGTTTGAACACCAACACCAAAAGTATCATTCGATGAATCGAAATGATCTTGTTGCTCAATGGACACGACAACGCAGCGGTTTGAACAACGCCATTAAAATAAGCAAAGAGAGTAATGCAATTCAAAGGGCTTTGCAAGATCGTCCACTAACCGAACATGCTTCATTGGACTGTAACTCTATTTTCGGTTGCAATGTTCAACGTAACGCTACGGCCATAATCAACGGCTACAAAGTAAAGAAGATTCAAACACAATTTTTGCAACAATATCCTTTGGAGGGAAACAGGCAACATCGAGCGAATCGAATTCAGCGACAACAGAAAAACACAAAAAACCGCAGGCAAAATCGTTTGAAACATCAAGATGCTCAACATTTACAACGACAAACAGATATGGAATTACAGATGCCAAAATCACAGGAGCCAAATCCGAATCGGCCATTTTTAGTACTACGCACGGAAACAAAGCGATATAGACGAGTACGACGACGTGCAATTGATTGTGTTGGCGCTATTCATGGTCAATGTTGCAAGGAATCCTTCTATGTATCATTTAAAGCACTAGGCTGGGACGACTGGATCATTGCTCCGCGCGGCTATTTCGCCAATTACTGTCGTGGAGATTGTACAGGTCCGTTTCGCACACCGGATACATTTCAAACCTTTCATGCCCACTTCATAGAAGAGTACAGGAAAATTGGACTTTTAAATGGTATGCAACCCTGCTGTGCCCCAGTAAAGTTCTCAAGCATGTCTCTAATATATTACGGTGACGATGGAATCATTAAAAGGGATCTTCCAAAGATGGTAGTAGATGAATGTGGGTGTCCATGAAGATGTGCCATGTATGTACGTATGTACATTTCAAAATACTACTTATCAATAAGTTAGCACAGTGTGGTCTATCTACAATAAGTCAACATACATACATATTTACAAACACACATGCAGAATTTAGGTTTAAACAGCTCATATCCATACAAACATAATATCCCAACACAACCAGGCTGACTAAAACTACAACAATCGGGGAAAAAAATGTATTCTTTACTAACACATTCTCACAAGTTTCTGTCAAATCATGAGAGTGAGAGGTCCTAATAAAAATGATTACATCGTTATTCTAACGAATAACACCACATTATGTCAAAAGTGTCGGTATTATTTAAATCCCATCAATTGTATTGAACTGTTCTTGCTGGGATTAAACACATAAACACCTCAAAGAGGAGTCTGGACTAGCGCAGAAAATTTCCTAGTATTTTCCAAGTATCCAGTAAATAAATATGTACAATTTGGATATTCACAACGGTCTTTTTGTATGTCGTAAACTTTGAACGGTTCAATAAATGTTTACATTCCTTAAAACCCCAAGCCACTGTTTTCTACCAGTGTGAAATTTCGTACTATGACTTTTATGGTATGTTACGAAGCCCCTAAATATACTTTTAACCGTTTAAAGTTTACGACTTATTTATCTACAATTATGCGACACCTACGACACCATTGTGAATACCCCAAATATGTTTTTCTATTATACAATTTGCACCATTTTATGATAAATAAGTCGTGCAAGGTCTACAATAAGCAGAATTATCGCTGCAAATACCGACCACATCGACAAAAATAATATCTAGGAAACACATGGCGGCCGCTGTGGTCTACTGGTAAGCAGTACGCGCTAAGGTTTCTCATGACCTGGTTCAACCCCAGTTTTCTTCCAACATCAAAAAATAAAAAAACAAAAAAGTTTTTTTATAATAGCGGTCGCCCCTCGGCAGCCAATGGCATGACTCCGAGTGTATTCTGCAATGAAAAATACAACCGCCGCACAGTGGTCGGAGAAGTTATGTTTTACGCGAAAAATTAGAAGGGCTGTCACGATTATAATAAAAATACATCATCGTAGTATTTTTGTTATGCTAAATCTGAATATGCCACAAAATTTTTAGTTTGACAGTTGACAGCTGTCAAATCAACTGCTAATTTCTCTAAAAGTACGAAAATCTTTTTGAAAATACCGCTTATTAGGTTTTTAGGCACGCAAATTAAAGCTTTGAGAGTTGACAGCTGTCAAAATGACTGTAAGTTTTTCTGAAAATAAGAAAATGTCTTTTTAAATGCTACTGGTAAGGGTTTTAGACACGCTAGTCACGAATTTCACGTGAAATTAAAACATTGAAATTTGACAGCTGTCGTATGGGCTGTCAATTTCTCCAAAAAATAAGGAGAATTTTCCAAGAAGTAAACGTACTAGGTTTTAAGGTTCACTGATCTCGAGTTCTATATTACATTCAAATTTCCCAGTTAAAATCTGCCAAATCAACTGTCATTTTTAGTTGAGTAACACAATATATTTGTTAAGCAAACCTACTGATTTATTGTATTTGATCGAACATATTTAAAATGAATTTATGATCAAATTATCAATTAATGACAACAATTATATTTATAAATGAGGGATAGTTGGGCCGCCTGCTATATGTTCAGCCCAAACAATTTTTTAAGTTTTTTTTTTTATTTTATACCAAATTGGTGACTTCCAAAACTAAAGTTTTCTCATTTTTAAATAAAGTTATTCAGGTTTGAAATTTGTAAATGGGAAATTAAAAAAAAATATGTATAAAACCTTGGGACCTTGTTGAAATTTCTGGGCGGAACAGTAAGGAAGGGCGTAATATTTTTTTGCGAGTATGCGCGGCTTTTCTTTTCGTAGATCTTTAAAGGACCCCTAGCATTACTTTTTGGTAAAGGAATGAAGATCCTACCCTGCTCTACTCATTACTTATACCGTTTTGAAGAAAATATTTCTTGAAAAATAAGCCGCGTTTTTAATAAAAATGACCGCCATTCTTTTTGGCGCGAGTATGCGCGGCTATTCTTTTCATACGTCCTTAAAGGACCCCTTGCATTACTTTTTGGTAAAAGAATGAAGATCGTACTCGGCCCTACAAATTAGTTATACCTTTTGAAAAAAATATTTATTGAAAAATAATCCGTGTTATTAAGATATTCATAATTTGGCAATAAAATTTTATTATGTAATATTTCATATGAAATAATCATTTTCCATCTTTAAGAAGTAACACCAAACCAGCAATTACTGTTATAATTTAAAGTTTCCATAATAAAAACTGTTAAGAAAGCTATCAACTCATAACTGTTAGAATAATCCACGATCGAATTCGTTGAATTATATGGATTCAATGGCTTGCTCAGCACATATTACTAGATATACTATCCAGCTTTGAGTTCGCTGGACATTTCTGAATAAAAATGGCTTTGCTCCAGTTATTTTATCATAGTTTAAAAATAGGCCTTTTTCGCGTAAAACATGCTTTTTACGACCACTGTGCGCCGTTCGCAGTCGGCGTAAAACTGTAGGTCCCTCCCCTTTGTGTGACACCATCAAAGCACACGCCACAAAACGGAGGAAAAGCTCGGCTAAACACCAACATATGTTCAAGCGCCAATCAACAAAATTCAAAATATTTCTAAACAGGTCTGTTCGTTGAGTGCACTAAAGTACTGTATTTTTTGAACGAAATTGCACTTAACATTACTATCTTTTTATGCAGCGTTTTTGCTGCATTTAAAATGCAACATTTAGCAGTTTCGAAAATATTTTTTCGAAGAGCGTTCATGCTATCGAATTTAGCAAATGTAAATTTACGCGAGTTCGAAATCGTATGCTTTTGACAAACAGCCGTGTTCCAGTCGTTTATTCAGATCCGTATCTATCACGATCAATTCGCACAAAGAAGATAATGTGCAAAAAACCCTACTGAAAAGGGAAAAAGAATTTTTAAACAAACAATTCATTACGAACCTTGAATTGTTTTAACCATAAACGAAAATTTGTTTTTTGTATAAATTCATTTAACGGTGCTCTCAATTGAAATTTCCTCAATTAAATAGGGAAAAACCAAACAGAGTTGTTCACAAATTGAGCCAGATTTCTATCAGTATCACATCGATGTTGAATTTGCGCAACTTTTCCTTTTCCAAATAATGTAAAATAATAAATCAAATGTAGATCGGCGATCACTGAAACGCAGCTAGCAACTGTATACGCGAAAAAGCAATGTTGCCACTTTTTCTTATTAAACCATGTTCGAATCGTGGAAATTTTTGAAGATCACAGGGTTGCTTTTAGCATTTAGACTCTTAATGCCGAAATTGAGCGGCATTTAGGTGACAAATTTTGTATGGATAAATGTACATTTAGAGTAGCATTTAGAGCTAAATGTGCTAAAAGTGCTTTTACGCGTAAGCAAAAACAGTCCATTACCCGGTTAGTGCAACACATACGATCAGTTGTCGGAAACAATGAAGAAGGAACTCAAAATTGAAAATGGAAAAGCTAATTCTTATACAAATAGTAAATATAGGTTTTTTAATAACGCGATCGAAAGGGTCATGTGTAGTTTTGAAGCAACAAGCAAAACCAAAATCTCAAGAATCTTAAGCATGCCTTTTTCCAGCTGCCGAATGGAAACGTGTAGAGCTACCACCTCGTTGGTTGCAGGTTCAAACCATAAACGCGTTGATTGCTTTTTTCTGTTTATAGATTTTTTGAGCGATATGCAACACATTACTTTCGTAAGACAGGGACGGTGTTTAGATCAGTGGTGTATAGCGTTCCCAGCAAAAAAGTAAGTTCGCCAGGGCCACACTGGAGAAGTGAAACTTACGTTATATATCTAGTTTGTCTCATAACCAATATACATACATATGTACATACATAGGTTAGGTTAGGTTGATGTGGCAGTCGGTTCAAATTACCAACTCACTTAGACCTTATGAAGGTCCATTGTGGTAACACTGCATAACACGGGAACCTCTGTGCCTAATCTTCAGAGAACCATTTCGAAGCTCTTATAAAGCGTAGGATTGGCTTTATTCGTACGCATGATAGTTCCGTAAGAGAGCTAAATAAGGGCCTACCTAAAAAGCCTGCTCTCCTCCTGGCCAGAGCTGGGCAGCTACAGAGGAAGTGCTCTACTCTTTCTTCCTCTTCCTCATCCCTGCAACTTCTACAATATTCGTGGGAGAATATTCCTAGTCTCGAAGAGTGCCTGCCAAATAGCAAATGACCGGTAACACAAGCCATGACCCTTGCAATATCCTCTCTTGAGAGGCTGAGCAACTCTTTCGTCTGTTTCTTATCAATTTGGGGCCAAAGTAGCCTAGTTGTTCTACAAGTGCCCTCCTCTAGGCATGACCTGTTTGCCTCTTGGATCATGCTTTTTCGAAGTTCTAATTTGCAGGTTGCCATGGGTATCCCAATTGTGCCTCTGTTTTCACATAGGGGGAGATTGGTACCTTTTCTGGCTAGCTCGTCGGCCCTGCAATTTCCTTCAATATCTCTATGTCCCGGAACCCAAATGAGGCTGACCTTGAGCACGGCGCTGATATCGTTTAGATCTGCGAGACATTCCTGCGCAACCTTCGATCTCAGCATTACCATGTTCAATGATTTAATGGCCGCCTGGCTCCTTTATAGCTAAAACCTCTTCCTGATAAACACTGCAGTGGTCCTGAATTCGGACGGATAATTCTAGTCCTAGTTCCTCGGAGAAAACTCCATAGCCAACCCTACTGTCTAGGTTGGATCCATCCGTATAAAAATTCAGTTCCCACCTTCTCCATGGTCTTGGAATTTGCCATTCTCTTCTTGACGGGATGCTCGTCTTGAAGAGCCTATCGAAGGTTGGTTTAGGGGGGAGTAGTCTACTTCTTGTTCGTGACTACCCAGAGTGTGAAGTATAGAGGCGTGACCGAACCGCCGATCCTTCCATAGCGCCATGCTTTTTAGTCTGAGCGCTGAATCGGCGGCCGCGTATTTA